ACACACACACACACACAACACCACACAAAACACACACAACACACCCCCCACCCCACACACACACACACCACAACACAACACCCAAAACCACACCACACACAAACAAAAACACCCCCCACACACCACCCCCACAAACACCACACACACACACACACACACACACACACACCACACACAAAAAAAAACAACACACACACCACACACAAAACACACCACACACACACAAACACACACACCACCACACACCACACACACACACACAACCCCAAAACCCAAAACAACACAACACACACACAAAACACACACACACACACACTCACAAAACCCCCACACACACACACCACACACAAACACAACACACACAACCACACACACACACACACAACAACACACACACACACACACAAAAAACACACACACACACACCAACACCCCACACCACACAACACACACACACACCAACACACACACACAAACAAACACACACACACACCACACACCACACAAAACACACACACACACACACACAACACACACACACAACAAACCACAAACCACACACCACACAAAACACACAACACACACACACACACACACACCCCACACAACAACACACACACACACAAACACAAAAACACACACCACACACACACACACACAACACACACACAACACACACACACACACACACACACACACACACAATAAAAACCAATTTAACAAGATATGTTAAAATCGCAGCCAATACACTCTGGCAGCGCAGATTTGGGGGGTTTAAAAAAAATAGAAATATACACAATATTGTTAATGAAGGGTTTAAAGATACGTCGGGCAGCGAATTGTAGTGTTTTTGAAATTGAGATCCGTAAGATAACTGTTACTTTGTGGTTTTTACAAAATGTTCAACAGGGGAAAAAGGGGCTTTTCTGCTGGTCCGTTACAACAGGAGGTGCTACTACTGGTGTTTCTGCTGGGCTTACAACGGAGGTGCTTCTTACTGGTAAAATACGTTTTCTACTACTACTGTTATCTACTACTGCTATTCTACTGCTACTAGATAAAACTACTACTACACTACTACTGTTACTACTCTGGTACACTACTGTTCATACTCTGTTACTACTACTACTGCACTACTACGCTACTACGATACTCTACTACTATACTTGCTATACGAAAAATACACTATACTACTTTTTGTTACTACTACTGGGCACTCTGTTCTACTACTACTGTTTTAAACTCTTACTATACTGCTACTATGATACTACTACTATACTACTACTGCTATCTGTATACTATATACTATACTATACTGTTACTACTATACTACACGCTATACACTGCTACTACGATACTACTATACTATACTATACTGTTCTACTAAACTAATTACTAAACTAGCTACGCTGCTACTATATATATGCTAAACTGTACTACTACTATATACTACTACTGTTACTACTCTACTAACTGTCACTGTACTAAAACTTTATACTACTGTTACTACTATACTCACTGCTACTACACTACTGCAAGCTGCTCTGCTCTACTGCACTGCTGCTACTAACTACTACTGCTATACTGATACTACTACTACTACTATACACTGTTAATACACACTACTGCATACTACTATGTACTGTGCTACTACTACTACTACTGCTACACTGATACTACTACTACTAATACTCTACTGTTACACTATACTCTACTGTACTCTCTATGCTACTGTGCACTTTTCTGTTACTACTACTATACTACTGCTATGCTGCTAATGTACTACATCTATACACTATGTTACTACTGATATACTACACACTACCCCACTGTTTTTCTACACTTTTTAAAAACTCTATACATCTCAGGCTTACTACTGTTACTATACTACTATACTGTACTGCTGCTATACGATACTCTCTCTATACTACTACGTTAACCCGATAAACCCAATATATACTACTACTGTTCTACTACTACTACTTCTATGCTACTGCGCACTACACACTGTTCTACATACTATATATACTATTCTTTTACTATACTACTATATGCTACTGATACTACTACTATATATACTACTGTTACTACTATAACTCTACTACTACTACTGCTCTGCGCTATACGATACTACTCTACTAACTCTACGTTACTACTACACTACTACTACTGCTACTACTACTTATACTGTACTACACTACTGCTACTGCTGCTACTACACTGCTACTACACTACGTTACTATACTGTTATACTACTACTACTGCTACTTTACTGTTTCTACTACTACTACTCTACTACTCATACTGTTATACTACATACTACTGCTACTACTATATGCTACTGCTGACACGTTATTACTCTATACTTATACTACTACTGTTACCACTACTACTGCTACTACACTACTACTACTACTGCTGCTACTACTGTTACAACTACGTACTACTGCTATACTCGTGCATCTACTAACTACTGCTCTATACACTGCTACTACTACTACTATACTACTACTACGTTACTACTACTACTGCTATACGTACTACTCTGTGCTTATACTGTACTACTACTACTGTATATACTACGCTACTACTGCTACTACTACTGCTGCTAAATATACTACTATGTTCTCTATATACAAGCACTACTACTATATGCTATACTA